TAGAACTGTAAACCGTATCTGATACATTGCCTTAATGTTTTCTGTCAAAAGTTTATGGACAGCAAAAGCAGTAAAGACATTTAATGAAAGAATTGTTTTCTGATGTATTTTTCCTAGATTTCAATTTAACTGCACACTCTTATATAGTAAGTTTTGTAAATCGTGCTTTCGATTTATTTCATGTTTTCCACACATTTTATCAGCAGTAAACATAATCGTTTAGAAAACGATTTACAACTTCAAAACGATATACTATCTGCATTCGTCCAAACCTTAGAGATATTGATTGTATTCATTTATTATTACCACCGTACGACAATAAAAGCATTTTATCCTTTGATTTCTGTGTTATTTTCTTGCTGGATTCCTGTTTACAAATCTGTGCATACAAGAGTACCCATGAATTTAGAGAATTGTTTATTTTAATTGAAGAACCCGTAGAAAACAAAATGTTGCAAAGATAAATATTTGCCCTAAATATTAGCCAAAGTTAAACTTTTATTTGGAAATCACTTGTGAATATTTGAGGAAAACTTGCAGGGTCTGGCCTCTTGAAACAGAAAGGAAAATGCGCTGTTTTAATTTATATTTCATTTCAGATAATCCCTTATCCAAAATATAGTTTGTACTTGTCTGTCCTCTTGAAACAGAAACGAAAATGAGCTGCTTTAATTTACGTCTATTATTCCACGTTGTTATTCGTTTTAAACACTTGTAAATGGCGCCCATTAATTGATGTTAACAAATCTGCTTTATTCATGTACTAAGTTTGTGGGCCTTTTTTGAACAGCTTTAAAAATCTTTTTATTTTATTTTCAGAAACGATGCATGGATACGTATGAAAAAATTATGCGCACAATATGTAAGGGGGGAGGGAGAAATGAAGGTATTTTATTGCAGAGAAAGGGAGTTAAAATATAACATATCTGATCCTCATATGCGGATTTTCACAAATATTATTATATGATATTTTAAACATGTGAATACCTGTTTAAAAACGCAGTTGATAGGATCTTGGAAATTCCCTAAACCGGGATGGCTTTCAAATAACCGAACTATCCCTTAAAAAGTGTTGTTTGTTTTAAAAGTTAAAGTAGGACTTTTTTTACTTTTTATTTTTGGCAGATGTAAATCTGACACGACCCTTTCCTTTGCGATTCCCAAAGCGAGGGAGAAAACCAAAACCTGTTTCAGAATCAATATAAAAAGGAGGGTCTTTTTAAATTACCCTAAACTGTGCATAAAAATGAATGGATCTCTCCCGTGCGCGCCTAAACAGAACCGGGTTACAAATCGAGGTCGGGGAAGTGTTTTTCGTTTGCACGCCCGGGAGCAGCTCCAGATTCCCTTCACACGGGAGCTGTGCAAGTCTGAAGGAGCCCAGGCATATTAATCGCAGGCCGGATCCAAACGCGGCGAAGCCAAGGGAGAAACTCTGGTCCACTTGTGCCGGGGACTTGGGATCAGGCTCCCAAGGGGGCGTGGGGCGCCAACGTTCCATTGCAGGGAGCGGGGGCTGGGGATGTGAGCGGGGGGGACGGGACCGGGGATGTGAGGGGGGGCCGCCCCCCCACACACACACACACTTCGCATCCCAGCAGGGCACACGGAGGAGCAACGCTCCCCAAAGCGGAGGGCCGATCCGAAGCACTCCAGGATCCCCAGACCCCCCCCTGCCCCAAACTCC